GCACTTTGATAAATTGCTAGTTATACAATGTTAGCAATTTACCACCAACTATAATTAAAGTTTGAAGCTTAAATAGGCATCAGACAGAGAATGGAAGCTCATGAAAATAATTAGCAACTTGCCTTGAAAAATCCTCCATCCTGGCTCTGTTTTAGCTTTTAACTGCGCAGTTGGTCTGTTATGTAAACATTCGGCAAGACAATATCAAATACCAATGATTTTGATCAGAAATTCAAGCATTAAAGCAGACATTAAAGTGCCTATAAAGACTGTGTCTTTTTATTTTTATGTATTTTAGATCATGGACTGAAATGGGAAAAAGACTGTTTTAAGAATCAAGGATTGCTGCACATTTTACAATCAAGTAAGCTGACACTCATTGAACAAGCAGTTGTGTAAACAATCAGTAGATCTAGATCACAGAGGAGCTGAAACCAAGGGGCATACATGAATGCAGCTTTGGCCAGCAACAAGTAACAAGTAACTGATTAGTCTATGGACAAGTGACCAGCTATTGATGACAAAGGCTTTTGGCCCTGCAATAAGCACGTGATTATGGGGTAGTTGGCTAGACTATAGCTGTAAACGAGATAGGGAGAAGTCATCAGATCTCCAAACTAAAAAAAAACCTCCCTTGTCTCACTGCAGAGAGAATCACTTGAAGCAAGCCAGTTTCACAAGCTGTGGCTCTTAACCAATAAACCAGAAATTTTAAAAGTGTGAACCAGCCACCAACTACCCGCTTCAAGCAAGTGGCTGGAGGAGGAGAAGGAGAATCACAGAGCAGCATGTCTTGACAAGCTAAAAAGGACCAGCACATCAAACCCGATGAACAGGAACCATTAAACTGCCGGCCCAGTCTTTCACTCCATCCATAAAACCTTTTTTTTGCTGTGTATGTGGATGTCTGCATACGTGAGGAAAGGGGAGTCTATAAGAGTTAAAATTTTAATTAGCAGAGTTAAATGTCAATGGTTTATAATTGTTCATTTCCCGTTAGAATCTGTTTATTAATATTCATTTGTGTAAGTCATTCTTAAGTATAAATAACCTGGTCCATGCTTTCCATTAACCTGGGTCTAAAAGATAGGTAACCTGGGGGAATTCTGCATGCTTTCTGAATCTTTAATTTTTGTGATGACTCCGGGAATAGCAGGGCTTGATTTCCAGTGCATGACTCTAACGATACGCATCAGCGCACTGGTTTTGTTTGCATTACAGCCTACCTCGTAGCTATTATTCTAACCACATAACTAAATTTAAAGGAAAAATATCCAATAGCAAACACGTCAGAAAAGTACACATTAAATGAAGTCTGAAATGCTGTGTCTTCTAATTGTCTTTGCAACAGTTTTTAAATCATGAATCTAACTTTAATGGAATAATTACTAGCAAAGAACCAACTATGCTGTATTTTCAATACCTTATACACTCAGAAGCAGGGTACAACTTGACCAAGAAAATTCTCAAATTCTACGATCCAATTAAATCAGCACAAAGCTAAAATCATTCCCCGGAAGCCATATATTCAGAAATACATTTTGTATAAAGAGAAAAGCTTTAAATACCATTACATAAATGCAGACCTCAATTTAGTATTTGAGCAACTTATCCTTTCAGCTATCATTACGGTATTCTATTCTTGTACACTAGCGACAGTTCTTTTATCAGCTATGACAAAGCAAAATGGTCAACTCAGGTAAATGAACTGATATCACCTTCAGCAAACAAACTGGAATCCTCTGACTTCTTGCACTCATTTAAACATGTATCACATGCAAAGCAATTTTGAACATTCTAAAAGGTGCCAGAAGACACCATATTAACGTTCAAGTGTAAAAGAAAGTATTTCCATTTCACTTTGCACACATAAGCACAAAACAACCAAATGCATCATGTGCCTGAGTGATGAACACAGCATCCTTAAATTTTCAATATTGTAAAGAGTCAATGTATTCCGCAAGCAATTAAGTGTATTTCTTATCCAGCTGTCTTCCTAACCGGCACCCACTCTCTCCCAAATTTCCCCTGCTGACAAAGACACTTGTATTTGACTACAATTTCAGTGATAAAAGTACCAATTTAGTCAAACTATTCTGATTTTGAGATCAAAATTTAATTGTGCCCTTAACAATTCTGAATTGATGTTCTGAAATGTGAAAGTATTCTGGGGAATACTGCAATCCCCACAATTCCTTATATAATCACAGGGTTTGGGTGTGTTCAACTAAGTTTCCCGTTGAGGAAAGGAAGCATGTTTAGTTTGTAGTGTGACCAAATACTCTCTGCATTTTTTTTTTAAATACATACCATTTGTTATGGACCAGACCAAACTGCCCCCCTACCCCCCAAAATATATTCAGAAGATCACCCTACACCGTAACCTCTTCTTATTTTAAGAGGTGTATAAAGTATTGCATTCCAGATGCAATTCGATTGGTCAAAATATCAGGTTTTAAGCAAAACATTTTTTATTTTATATGTATGAATAAAGTAAGAAAAAGAACTAATAATTTAGCTCTATTGGAAAACTTAATTTAATAACAGATTATTCAACTAAACAATAACTGTTCCAATATAATAATATCTCATAAACACACGCTTGGCAAAAGTAAGTTCAGATAAATAGATTGTCTCACATGCAGTTCTCCAGTCCAGGAGGAACAATAGCAAGTGAAACCTCAGGAGCAAGGAGCGATGTACTGCAGCTTCGAAACCCAGCTTCAAGACCCCAACAGCTGCTACTGAAAAACTAAAGCTACAAATCCTGGGTCTGTGGAGCTTGACCCCATCCGTTCAGATTGTTTCTATTGTTCCACCCTGAGGGGAGAAAAACCCCCAAGCCCTCACAAGCTGTTTACTTTATGGGCTTTGAAGTAGACTACACATCACCGCTGATCTCAACCTTTCTTCATTAAAAAAAAGGACAAAATACATCTCTTAAAACCATAGTATTGTCACATAATGTGCATTCAAACACATGTCATGACAGTTTTACTTGCCTGGGACTAGGTATTTACACCAAGTCCTCACCTAAAGTCACCACAATCCCACCCTGGCTCCAGCGTTGCCTCTGCCATGGACTTCAGCTCCTCACCTCGCCTTGATTCCTGGCAGTGTCTCACCTTGGGCCTCGCTTTCTCTTCCAACCAAGGTCTTGCTTCTCATCCTCTGTTCTTATGTTAGGCTTTAATGTTTTCAGGCTTGCTTGCTCCCTTCCCAAACTCACATTTTTACTAGACGGAGCTAGACTATCAAAGGTAGGGTCCTAATTGGTCTGGGAGTCCAGTTGCTGCCTGCACCAACTCCTGCCATTAAATGGAAACCAATGAACTTAACAGAATTGAGCAGTATTTTTTTTATACTGTATTTCTTTTATATTTAGCGTTTTGCATGTTATTTCAGTAGGGACAACAGTATTGTACGTGTACAGTATAGCTATCAGCTTTTATTTTCTTTCTGGTAGGAAATATCCGAAGGAACTCAACCTTAACATGCAATAACATGGCTTCCCATAAGAATCATTTTAAGCTATTTAACCTATAGTTGTGATTCTAGGTAATGCGACCATAACGTTAAGCATGGACTAAGTGTTGTTACATATGAAAAATGACAAATACCTGATTGTTATATGCTTATTTCTGATTCAGTTAGAGCAATTCACATTTTAAATTATAGAACGCAATCAAAAGACAATTAAACTGGCAAATCAAAAACAGTATAAAAAGCACAATACAAACTAAAACTCCTTTGGTTTGCATTCATGCAAATTATTATGCATTGAACTGAGTGAAAAAAGTAGAATCAGGTTAAATTATATGCACTGAGTGAACAGCAAAAATCTTGATTCAGCCATTTATTTAATTTGTCATGACGACTATCCATTCTAAAATTTACAGATTCAATAGTATGGACACTAAATCTTCAAGGAAGTATAAATTTTGGCAGTGTGTCATCTAACCATACACTTAAGGATCATTACAACCAAACCTAATAAGATGCCATTTATCAGATATCCATAAATATGCAGTTCCAAGCAATGGACAATGACTAATTTATCATAACCATAGAACCTGACTGGCTTTTTAATCTCTCCAAGCAGAAAATCAATCCGAACATCTCTATCATCCCTCCTCCTCAAAGATTAATCAGCAGCTGACACTACTGGCATCCCTCAGTAAAACAGATCATTCTGGATCATTAATTGTTAAGCAGTTAAATATTTCCTCTAAAAGCATACATAAGGATCCATGATTACAAACAGCAACTTTTATTTACAACTATCATTACCTGGACTGCACAGCTAATACATTTCTAAACTATTAAATATAATCATGAATACAAAAAAACAAAGATTTAGACCTAATGCATCAAACTTTTGGAAATAAACCATAGGTAGATGGCAGACATTCCACTTTACTAACTTGTGGAAACTTGTAAAACATACAAAGCTAAAAATTGTGATTTTCGCCTTCTGGTATCAGAGATTCTTTGGGTAGCAAAATTTATTTTAGAAACTTCCAGTTTGTTCCATACTGCTCCCTTAACCCGCAGCCTAGCAAGGTTAAATAAAAGTTCTACACGAATTTTCCGACAAATTTATATCCATTCCTGCAATACCCTCCTCGTAGACTATAGTGAACATTGTTGCTTTCATCCCCCCAATGCTACAAATCAGAAGACAAACCCAAAGCGGGTGCTAGCAGAATTAACGTTTAGGGTCTAGTTTTGAAGGGTCACTGGACCCGAAATGTTAACTCTTGTTTCTCCACCAATGCTGCCACTTTGGCGAGTTTCTCCGGAAATTTCTGTTTTTGTTCCAAACCAGAAACGTGATCACAAACTGAGTTAAGAATTCACAAAATACTGTACTTTTACTTTGCGGATGCTGGATAAAAGGTCTGGAGTAATAACAAACGTTGCGGCAGATTCCAAGCAAACCATTTGGCAAAGCGACGGTGTTGATCAGAAAGTGGGAGGCGTCCTCTCCCCTCCCTCACCGTTAAAGAGCCACACTCCGCGGGATCGCCACCACCGGGTTAAACGCGGCGTGAGCAGAGATCACACCGCGGGCAGATAAACATTCGCTACTCCCTCCCCGCCTGGTCCCGAGTGCACCGGAGCCGCGGGCACCGCCCCATTCCTGACGGTAATCCATTTAAAGTGGCCAGCAGACTGGAGAGAGGGGGGTACTAATAACTCCGACCCCCTGTTGCTTGCCGGAAACAGTGACCTAGTCGCCCCCCACTCACCCATCTCCGCGCGCGCTCCCCCCGACAGCGGCCGCACGCGCTCCTCGCTTTACAAACTCCAACGGATCCCGCTCGCGCCTCTGGCCACGGGAGAGCAGCCGGGAAGTGAGGATCCACCAGAGGCGGGGTTATAACCCTAACTCCTCCTGCAACCCAGCAGCAACTTGTCTTTATAACATCTGCAGGTTGTTTAAGAAGACTCCAAGACACTCAACAGGAACTTCAACACAACTAGGCCAGGTATCCAGACGGCTTAGCTTTTAAGGAGCACCCTTAAAGGTGCAAGAGTGATTTAGGGTGGGAATTCCAGGGTTTAGGTGCCCCTGGCAGCTGAAGTCAAGACCACTCACCCAACTGTAATTGGAGCATGCATAAGAAGCCAGAATTGGAGGAGCTAATGTAGATATCCTGGAGGGTTGTAGAGCTAGAGGTATATTGCAGACGTAGGATGGATGAGATAATGCAAGGTTTCGAAAACTGGTGAGAATTTTAAAATCGAAAACTGAAACCAAACGTGAAGGTCAGTACGTACACCGGGTAATTGGGGAATAAGACTTATTTTAAGTTAGGACTCAGGACAGAGAGTTTGGAATGATTTCAAGTTTAAGGAGGGTAGAATAGATAAGTCCAGTTGGAACAGTCAAGTCTGGGCTCTGAAGTTAACAAGGGCGTGAATGAGTGTCTGCAGCAGGTGAGTTGAAACAGGCACATCGGGCAATATTACAGAAGTGGAACTAGATAATTCACTGGCAAGAATATCCAGGTAATCGTACGCATAAATATGATAGCAAGATTGCAAACAAAATGGATTGTAGAAGGAAACAGCTATTAGGCAGAGGGATGGAGTCAGCATTTCAGGCACAATTTGTGGCAAGACAACAGCTTTCATAATATTTAGTTGAAACAACTTTGTTGTTTGTCATTTTTTTACTTTATAAAGCTCCTGTGAAGTAGCTTGGGATACATAATAATTTAGCTGTATTTATATAACATCTCTGACGAGCTTTCTGCATAAGCAGTGCAGTATATTGGACAAACAAGCATTGTGAAAACTGATGTTATGTTGACAGGTAACGCTATCAAGGGTAAGATGTAAATGAGAGATAAGAGGAGGAAAAGGTTAGACACCGCAGTTGCAGGAACAGAAAGAAACGCCATTGTAGGTGATAATCTAGCTACAACTGTATGGGTAAGCATGGAACCAGGTGAATGCAGAGCCACCCAGCTAAATAGAAGTGGAAAGGTTTTGGACTAGGTTGGTACATTCAACCGTATCAAAAGTTGTAGACAGACTGACACTCAAATCACTCAAAATTGCAATGACAGGTAGGCAGTGTGCTGAAGGTGGCGTTTGGCATGCTTGCCTTCTTTGGTCAGAGGATTGAGTACAGGAGTTGGAATGTCATGTTACAGGTGTACAAGACATTGGTAACGTCACATTTGGAGTCCTGTGTACAGTTCTGGTCGCCCTGCTACAGGATGAATGTTATTGAACTGGAAAGGGTGCAAAGCAGATATACAAGCACGTTACTGAGACTGAAAGATTTGAATTATAAGGAGAGGCTCGATAGGCTGGGACTTTTTTCCCTGGAGCATCGGAGGCTGAGGGGGTGACCTCATCGAGGTTTATAATATCATAAAAGTATTTTCCCCAGACTATGGGGTCCAAAACTAGAGTGCATAAATTTACGGTAGGAGAATAAAGATTAAACCGGACTTGAGGGGCAATATTTTCTCAGAGGGTGGTGTGTACTTGGAATGAACTGCCTGAGGAAGTGGTGGGTACATTTACACCATTTAAAAGATGTTTGGACAGGTACATGGATAGGAAAGGTTTTGAGAGATATGGGCCAAACACAAACAAATGGAACTAGTTCAGTGTATACCGCTGACTCTTAAAATGTCATTTCTGACATTAAAGATCCTCTGATCTCAGAACCTCCGAATCTCTTCCCCCAAAGCATTTGTAATTCTTCAACACTTAGAATATCCTGCAATCTTCTGATCTATTCACAGCCTTGCTAATCTCTGGAAGACCATTCCATTCTATCCCATCTCATCCCAAGACCTCCAATCTCGCTCTTCCTCCTGACTCTCCACTCCGTGAATGCACGCGTGGTGCCAAAAGCTCAACAGCCCGCTTATGAATAAGGATCAAAATCAAAAAGTGTCCTGCAATTGAAAATATCAGGAATTGTTAGATATCCAATCTTTTGAGTTTCCTGACCTCATGCCACAACACCCCACACTCCTCCTTCCTCCCTGCCTCCAAATTAATATCCAGAGCGTTCTTATATTTTTATCTAGTTCCTTTTTAAGTGTGGCTACACTGCCTTCCCCAACCACTCAATTTTGTTCCACAGCGGTGAGTTCATCATTCCTGCTTTCTATCTGAAGAGGTTTCTCACAAAAGGATTTATTGGTGACTATTTTATTATGTTTTAGGTTCACTAGAACCATAAATAGAACACGAGGTAGACGGAGGGTAAACTTGAATAGGCAATACTTTATCGTAGGACTGTCAACTCCGCAGTTGATTTTAAACTACTTCCCCCAGCTCCTGCCTCTGAGTCACCTGACCTGCCCTCAAAGTGACAGGACACACCCAACTACATGCATAACACAGAAGAGATAAAAATCCTCTTTCTTCTTTCAGTAAAATCTTGGAAATAGGCTCTGTCATTTTTCAATGTAGAAAACTAGCGTGCCCATCCATCATTTTAAACATTTACTCCCTCTGGCACTGTGAAAACATGGTGTACCATCTGCCAAATGAACTTCCAGCAATTCGTCAAGGTTTCTTCAACAGCACCTTCCAAATCCATGACCTCTACTATCTTGAGGAAGAAGAATTGCAAGTACGTGAGAACAACACCACCTGCAGATTCCCGTCTAAGAAACATGGACCTCACTGGGAGCTTCACTACCATCCTTTCACTATCAGCAGATCAAAATACTGAAAATTCATCCAAAGTGGCACAGGTTGTGTACCACACCAGATGTGCTGCAGGGTTTCAAAAAGCAGCTTGCTGTCACATTTTCATGGATAATTGGGGATGGGCAACAAAAGCAGGCTGAACCAGCCATGTCTAAATCCCGTGAATGAATGAAAACAAAGAAAGGTAAAATACTGGAAAGAAATATATTGTTTTCAATGGGATAAAAATTGGACATGAATGTAATGGTGGGCAACTGCTGTGCCAGTTTGCTGCCTAAATAGGGAAGATGAAAATTTACACTGTCCATCTTTTAGATACTACTCAGAAAGTGGCTTTTTTTTTCCAGCAGTATCTCCAGACATATTCAGTTTTGAATACTGTAATCATATTTTAGTTTTGAACTCAGTTCTTTGTATTTTCTCCCACATCTATCTTATAAAGGGAGTGGTTTTAATTTCAGCCATTGCTTTTGTACAAATTGCAGTGTAAAGGTTTTTTCTTATATTTAGAGTCAAGTGGAGTCTATTTAACCACATAATGATGCCACCCTCTGTTCCACCACTAGAAACCCAATTTTGTTTTATCCATTACCATTTTTTAATCCTAGATCATGCCCCTAAATATTATGTTAAGAAAATCCCCATCACAGTTCAGTCACTGGATGAGCTGATTCAGAAGGGCTGATTCTTACATTCTTTGGCTAAGTGTCAGTTTTGTGGAGTTTCATTGAGGGTTTCTCCCTGAAAGGTATAGCAAGTTCACATGATACAACTTACCAAATTCACCTCATTAACAAATTACCCTGAACCTACAGTGCCTCTCTCATCTGATTCTAGTCCCATGCTACCAATCACTGTACCCAGAACAAGTCACTTACATTCTTGACACTAGCACTATCTATTAATAGGCTGTTGTGCACCCAGACAAGGACTGTTAAGTCAGAGCCACCCTGTACAGTTCCTGACATTTGCCTCAGATGTAATTAAGAAGAGAAAATTGGCATCAGGGACCTGGAGGTCCCAGTGTACCAGCTGGTGAAGAAGTGGGATGCCTTTTCTTCAGGACCTACAGAGGAGAAGGGTCATGACCTGAAACGTCAACTTTCCTGCTCCTCTGATGCTGCCTGGCCTGCTGTGTCTCTCCAGCTCCATACTGTTGTATCTTTTCATGCCATCCTAGTCTGACATTTGCACCCAGGTCAGTGCATTCTCAGCCCTCAGGAGGAATAGACAGAACTGTAGAAAGAAAGTAAATGATCTTCTCCAAGTTAAATCTTGGCAACAAGAAAAAGATGTATTTCCCCATTTCTCAACTCCCTGTTGGTTAGCCAATCCTCGATCCAAATTAATAAATTACCCCAACCCCATGTGATCTTAATTTGTGTATTAACTTTTGCATGACAGCTTATCAAATGGCTTCTGGAAGTCCAGACATCTACATCTGTAGGATTCTCAACATCCACTTTGCTTGTTACATCTTCAAAGAATTCTTGCCAATTTGTCAAACATGATTCAACCTTCATTACAGCTTGCTGACTCTGATGGATTGTGTTCTGACTTTCCAAATGTCCTATTAATTACTTCCTCCAAAATGGATTCTAACAATTTTCAAATGACAGATGTTAAATTAACTGGTCTATTCTTGTTTCCTACTTTCTGCCTCCCTCCCTTTTTGTACTAGAACCTTGCCTGCATCCATGGAATTTTGGAATATTATAATCAATGGATCCATTAGCTGTGCTCCCACTTCCTTTAAGATTCTAAAATGTCAGATGCCAATGTTTATGGAAGCGGGATGTACCAGTGCCCATGGAACATCCCCTCAAATGTTGGTGCCTGGTGTTCAATGTGGAAGTCCTTTGGAACAAGCAGCAAGTTCGAGTCACCTTGCTCTGACTTGCCAATATCTAGTTTGCTTGAGTTGGATGATAGGATAGAAAGCTGCATGTTAATGAG